GCCATGCTGGCTGGGGAATTCTGGGAGTTGAAGTCCACTCATCTTAAAGTGGCCAAGTTTGGACAACACTGCCATAAACGATGCATTGTCATTCAAGTGATACTTGTTCACAATTATCTTTGAATCAGAAAACCAGTTTCTTCTGTTCCAGTCTATCTAGTAATCCTGGAATTCTTTTTTCGTTTTGTTTTGCCTTTCCAAAAGACTGTGGCTTGGACTTACTTGCTTCAGCCATGTGAAGTTATTTGCTCTTCAGGCATCTTCTGCACAGCCCATGCCTGCCTGCACTGTATGGGTGGATATGCAAAGGCTATTCTATGACAGCTCAGAGTGTGAATCGTTCTGCCCAGTGCAGCTGGCTTGCTGACACTGCCAATTTCCCACCTTTACGAAATTCACTAAATTTAGTTTTCACTAAAATAACTTCTGTGGCTCAAAGCTTGGAAATCAAAACTCATGCACAGTCCTCTTCATACAGCTACATAATAAGTACCTGATGGTTTGGTTTTACACCATGCCAAATTGAGGCATTATTTATTGTGCAACTGAACTGTGTCCTCTGACCAAACTGCTTTTTTTAATCATTCAAATTATTACTTTATAGCACTCACTGCCACAAGATGCAGTGAAATCTATTAGCCTTAACAGATTTTTCAACTTATGAAGAACATTATCACTGGTAATAAGGCCCCAATTAAACTTCTGTGTTCAGGCATCTAAGCATATTGGATAGTCATTACTACATTTTCCTGCTTGACCACCAGCTAGCTAAAGGATAATGGGAGTTGAAGTCCAATCTATCTGCGGGCTACAATCTTGGGGAAGATGATTCTAAATAGACTTTGTTCTGCTCCACCAAGAGCAAATACTTAGGTTTTAGTTTATTACCTGAGTTATGTTATCTTGGCTCCATTCCAACTTGTATCCTAAGGCATTCTCTCCAAACATTTCTGGAACTACTGCTTCCCATTCCAAAATCAGGCAAGAATCTCTTTGGACAATGTGTACATTTTGTGGTGTACAATTTGGAGCTGTAATGGAAGGAAAATCATAATGTATGTTGTGTTGTTTAAAAGAGAAAAACAACTACTGAATGGTAAGCCTCAAGCTATGGAAAAGTCTTAGGAAACCCAGATATCCTATGTAGTAGTAGTAGTGGTAGTAGTAGTAGTGGTAATAATAATGATAATAATAATAATAATAATAATAATAATAATAATAATAATAATAATAATAGACCTGACAATGGCTAAGAGCAGGAAAGTTGAAGAAAGAGACAGAGGAGCTAATTCTGCTTGCACCAGACCAAGCTTTAAGAATACATAAAAAGTCAGAATTGAGAAGACAACAACAGAGAGCAAATGCTACCTCTGAAAAGAAGCTGAAGAAACAGTGGACCACCTAGTTAGCTGCTGCAAGAAGATTGCACAGACTGACTACAAACAACGGCATGACAAAGTAGCAACAATGGTGCATTGGAATATTTGCAAGAAATACCATTTGCTGCAAGCTAGAACCAGTGGGACCACAAAACAGACAAAGTAATAGAAAATGAAAAAGCTAAAGTGCTCAGAATTCTAACAGACAAGCACCTGCCACACAACACCCCAGACTTAACAATTGTTGATAAGAAAGACAAAAAAGTTTGGATAGTGGACACTGCAATATCTGGAGACAA